TGGACATTCGGCGTTCTTTGGATGGATTACTTGAAAATCCGTCGGCTATATTAAACGAAAATCCAATAAGGGCAAAATGTTTTTCCTGCTTAGCCATCCTAGCATCAGTGTTGAATTTAATTGCAACACGATCAGGGATCCGGATCATCATTATCGTTCCAGTGCCATGAAGATTCCTCTTGTGCTCTTCGATCAATGCGACAGTAGTAAAAAACCTATCATGGCAGATACAGCTTCCAGGTGGGACAATTTTACTCAAATGGAGAACCACAGACGGCCTCATCCCGATTGGAGAGTCTCCAAACTCGGGTTCTTCTTCGGATTCCATGCCAGAGAATATTTCCTCGAAATTGAGATTTTTCAGGACATTACGTTGAAAATTATCGTCATCTTCACCAAAATCTTCAATTTTGGAAAGTTTTCCGTCACCCAAGATTTGTGAAATTTGACCGTCATTCATCTCTTGTCCTAAAAACAAGAAAATATGCACATTTTCAAATTTAATTCAAGCACAATTAATAAATAAAGGTTTCTAAGTTTTAAATTATTTCTTGCACGTACAACCGAAGCCACACAATCGTAGCAGTCAAATTTTATGACGAAATTGTATCCAAATTACAATGAAATTAATTAAAGTAAAAGAACTTAATTAATAAGTGTTTATTTGACTTTGAATTTACTTAAAAACCTAATACATTACTAAACAAATAATACGCGTAACTAGTACTTACAGGTGACGCTGCGAGAATCAAAACACGTCGTCATCTCCCACCAAGGCTCGCAGGACACTGGCCGCCCGCATGGGCCTCGCGATTTAGTTAGCGCAAGCGAGATACCCTCACGATAGATCGATGCCGGTTGCGTTTGCAAAAAGCAAACGGTTTGGCGCCAGAATTTTTTAAAAGTTAAACGCACGCTCGTTTCATCCCGGGTGTAAAGGGTTAAAAGAGGTTTCAAAAATTGAGAGACCAGAAAATATTGGAGGAAGATGAGAGATATACAATCCAATCTGACAATCTTTTGTTTTTTTTCTATAAAAAAACCATTTATCACCTTATAACATAATTAATGGGATTACCTACAATGTTTCCATTTCATTATTTCTTTAACATTTTCAATCCAGGAAGACGTCTTCTATAATTTCTATCTCTAATCTCAAGTTTTTGATCTCGATTCGAGTGGAAATCGTTTATCATGTTATCAAAGAACTCGGCGTTTGCATTCATATCTCAACATTGATAAGACGACTAACTAAAACAATCGTCAACCGGTAAAACACTTGATGTTAAACAAGGCCCTTGTTTATTGATTTTAGTTTCAACCTTCAATTCAATTAAATGTGTACCTATATGTAAGTATGCTGACATATTTCGCATATCCTCATTTCAATTCAATCGCATTTTTCCTATGTAGGATAATATTTTACATGTTAACATCTAATTGTTAACTTTCCATTCATTCTAGGTTTCTAGGTAGACCTAATTAGAGAGAATTCTCTCTACTCGAATTATTGCCATACCTTCCTGATTGTCTATCTAAAATAAAAACAGCAGGAATGACGAGCACGACCAGATATTTTATTATTCATAAACTACAACTGTTTGATCAAGCATTAGAAACAATCAAAGAACAATGCTCTTAGAATGCACCTATTGCCTTTTTAATTCGGAACCCAGTCATTAAACCAACTTAAAAAGTTGGCTCTCAGTTTGACCTGTTAGAATGTTTGTCCACCATTAGCTGAACCGATTTTGATGTGGTAGGAAAGTGTTTGTTACATCTGGGAGCAGGTTATACCTGACATCAAAAAAAGAAAGTTGAAGTCGGGTTTATTAAACTTAGTTTATGGAAATTTATTTTCAGGTCCCCAACTGAAGCTGGTCGCGACAGTCTCGGCTGGATATAACCACTGCAACTTAGATGAGCTCAAAGCAAGAGGCATCAAGTTATCCAACACCCCTAATGTCTTGGCGTCAGCTGTCGCGGAGATCGCCGTGGGTCTCATGCTGGGAGCTGCCAGGAGATTCACTGAGAACTTGGATCAAGTTCACAAGTAAGGCTTTCAATAATGCGGCTAAATGGAGACTATAACCCTAAGCATTAATGATTGATTTTATAAAATTACAGCCACAGATATTACTAAAATAAATCTCTATTCCACTATTTAGATAGTCACTGATAATGAGTAGTATCGTTACATAATTCGTATGTGTATAATATAATGTAGTTCGCTACATAGCAATACTACTCATTATCAGTGATATCATAGACAAGACGTATGTGGGATATGACGTTAATGTAATTTTTTTCCCCAATCCATTGCAACTGAATGCACGTCAGCAAAGATGATGATTAACTCACAAGTACGTACTAGAGTGACTATCAGTCGTCATATATTGAATCTTGATAACCAATTTAGTTCCAGGTATGTTGATATTTAATAGTAATAAAGTGCATTACCTACATGCCTACCTAGATCTAGATATGTATTTAAATTTATTGCACACACGTGTTATTCTTAGCAATGAGGAATCCTAGTTTTGTTAATTATACATCATTATCATTCGGAATACATCCACTACGTACTGAACAAAGGCCTTCTCTTAGAAAAAGGTTCCTCTTGCAGGACCTTACTGGACATACTTAATCATCAAAACTAATTTTGGAAGTGGCATTTTAACACTGATATTATTAAAGGTGCTTCGAGGTACCTTAATAGTTTACTTCATTTTTTAACTACTTCGTTTTCAGGGGAGATTGGGAGATAGGTTTCGATAAAGTCCTCGGTCAGGACATCCGCGGTAGCACCGTGGGCATCATTGGCTTAGGAGGTATCGGTCAGGCTGTGGTCAAGCGTCTCGCTGGATTTGAAGTCAGCAAGTTTGTTTACACCGGTCACAGGGAGAAACCTGAAGGTATACATTACATAATTCTGCCTTTTTATTCCCGAAAGCGTGCACGGTTAACTTGTGCCAATTATTTTCAGTTGTGATTGTGGTTTGAGTGCCAATTTAGCCTATTTCTATTTGCAGACCCCATTTCAAAGTCGATCCTTTATTTACTTATTAACTGCTAATTTTAATATAATTGGAAACTAATTTTACATCTTGGTTGGTAGTCTTTCGGGCGACCAATATTAGTACATTACAGTGAGGTAGCCCAAAAAGGAACCTATACACAGTTGTCTTCCTACAAAGTATTTCAACGACTTTAAGGTATTAGAACTCCGATCTTCTTCTTTTCTTTTTCCAGCCAAGGCTTTGGGCGCAGAATTCGTAACTCAGGACCAACTGCTGGCCCAAAGTGACTTCATAGTACTAGCGGTGCCACTGACAAATGAGACCAAACATATGATCAACAAGGATACCCTCGGGAAAATGAAGAGCAATGCCATCGTCATCAATGTAGGGCGTGGAGGTAAGATTCATTTAATTTGAAGATTTTGGTACCAATTCGTTAGAGACACCAAGTTAGACCGTCATCATTAGCCAGAAAGTATTTGTTGCTGAACAGAAGCCTTCCCTTTTAAGACTTTTGTCATTAGGATGCTTGCTACGCTTAGAGATACAGAAGTTTCTCTAGAAGTCATCAAAATTCTAGAGATCGTTGCTAACTATCTTTTTTGATCGGATACGTTCCAATATGAACAGTTATATGGAATTAAGTACCTAAGAAAGATCCAAGTCGGTTCTTCCACTTTCAAAACATTACATGAAGCTATGACAAAGACCAAATGTAACGCGATTTATTAACAATTCTAACTATTGTTTGTTTCGTAATTTAGACCTGGTTGATCAAGAAGCCTTGTATGACGCGCTGAAGAACAAGCAGATTTACGCTGCTGGACTTGACGTCACCACACCCGAACCTTTGCCGAAAGACCACAAGCTACTCACACTGCCCAACTTGTGTAAGTATTTAAATGAATCTTATCTTATACTCTATTATATAAAGCAGAAGAGTTTGTTTTTTGTTTTTTTGAACGCGCTAATCTCCGTAACTACAAGTCTGATTTGAATAATTATTTTTGTGTTGGATAGTGCATTTATCGAGGATGGCTATAAGCTATAAAACATCACGCTACGACCAATAGGAGCTGAGCAGAGCGTGTGAAACCGCTTGGAAGTAGCAAGTTATAATAATAAATGAAACCTATCAATAATCTTGGACTCTTGGTAACTCAGAAAAACAATAACGTCCCCTATTTCAATCTCCGAAAAAGATAGGGAGATATGTGCCACATTAAATGTAATCGCCCACTTTTTGCTAGTTGTTTCCGAATCCCGTGTTCTTAATGAGCGGGCCTGTTGGACTTATTGGATATTTTACCTGACTCCACGTTAATAATAAGAAATAACATAAATCGAAAAGGCCTAATAGTACCTACTTTCTGTCGTAGGGACGAACGAAACACTTAGTGCAAAACGTTTATTTAATTTTATTATTTTATATTTTTAGTCGTACTTCCACACATCGGCAGTGCAACAGAGCGTACTCGCAGTGACATGGCGGTACTGGCCGCTAACAACGTAGTCAACGCTCTGACTGGCAAACCTCTCCTTACACCTGTCAATCTATGATCGGATTGTCTCTGGTTTATCACGTAAAAGAGGTTTCATACCATCTAATGCCTAGTGTTCTGTTATAATCTGGCTCCTAAACAACATTGTAATATAAAATTAATTTCAGCTATAGTACAGACTTTAATATGTTCTTTAAAATATTGTATCCTTTATGGCCTTGTAATAAGGGTGGGAATGTATTGCAGTTTTGTACTATTTACTGTTCTAAAACAGTGTTGATTCACTACATTTACTATGTAATACATGTCTTTAGTAAACTGTATTGCCAGATTATAATTATAAAATGTTAACAGCTGTAATATAAATAGTGATGTGGTAAAAACCAATACTGTAAATAAAATCTGCTTACAAAATACAAATTTGGCTTTTATTTCTGCTTAAGTTTAAGGCTATAATATAATATCTATACTTTTATACTTAATTATAAACAATTACTTAATATTTCAATTTAAGTAAGTCTGTTTACAAAAGAAAAACAAGTTTTTGCCTCGAATAAGTAAATAATAATGTTGATAAGTTTCATGTGTCAAATAGATGGAGAATATTAACAATCTTACATAATATGTATATTTTTCTATTATAAATACATAAAACATATTCCTTATTCTTTGTTAACTCGATACAAAAATAACAATGTCTAATGTCTCTTAGAGTGAACTTAAATGTTATTTTAATAAAAATAAAAATAAAATGGCATTATATTAAGGGGCATCTGCAACTACAGCTGCTAAATCCTTTAGAAAAGGTTCTATTTGACTTTCCAGAGACAATATATGGCCAGTGTTGCAATTATCACTACCAATAAATGTGACGACTAAAGGTAGCTTGTTCATTTGTATTACCTGCAAAAAAGAATATTAATTTTGATATCAAAACTAGATTATATTATAGAACGAAATAAAGAGGTGTAGTCTGTTTAAATTAATTAAGTACAAACAACAAATTTAAGAATTTTTACATAGTTTGGCAATTGGCACTCATGAATTATTAAACTGTCAAATACCAAGCGGTCACCGGTGACCGCAACCTATTGTTCTATAATTGTGTCTACAAAACCGGTACTCGACGAGTTAAGGGTTGACGCTTAAAATTAAAACTGTAATGTAGTAGCGCTCAAGTATAAAATGTGTTTACACAAAAACTATAGTAAAGTTTGAAACACAAAATTACGCCTATGTAATATAATATGTACCATCAAACATCAATCAAGTATCAACTTTATCTATTTAGTTAATGATGGTCACTCATAACAAATAATTCATATTCAAGCAACTGCCCAGCCCATATATCCCCAAGCGGTCACCGGTGACCGCTCTCCACTAACTACATTATAGACCTTATTTCCAATGTTTAGAGACTACTTTTGTCTGAACAAATTTAGGGGATGGTTTTCAACGGGCTAGTATGTAGTTAATATTAAGTGTTTAGCTCAATCTTTTTATAATCGAAATCTTTGTGACTTAATTATTTTGTACTTAACAAATTGTAACTCACCTGGTAACTTGAATACATTGAAATAATTGTCTTATTTCTTCCTAGGCCGAGTTTGCTTGCTTGGTCAGTCGCCATACCAAACGTTGATATGAAATTAGGCCTCAATGCTAACTGCGGAGCCCTCTCTGTGACTGCTCTAACTAGAGGCACGCCATCACGATCAGTTATAAGGATACAGTGAAGCCCGTTCACCCTAAAAAGAATAGGTATCATACAAAGATTAGACAATTTCAACAGGTTTTATTAACACTTTAATGTGTTCCTGCAACACTTACTTCTCCAGTAGATGATTCAAATATTTCCTTAGGTCGTCAACCATTTCTTTCAAATTAAAATTATTAAATATTTACAAAACAAACTGAATTATCTATTGAATCGAAATGAAAAACAATGAGCCACCAATATCAAAGTACGATTGACATTGACAGGACAGCCTGACAGTTGACATTTGTCATGATAACGCTTGTCATCTGCGTTGATGTTTTGATTTTTCGTATAAAGTCGTCATAGACAAAATGATTTCTCCTCATTATTTCCACGTAGGTTCTTATGATTCCATTGGATGGTTTTTGTTATTTACGTTGGACCCCTCTTCTATTATAGTCACGTAGTATTATAGTAGCAGTATCACGCCTGATTAGCGTGTAAATTATGTCCAATTAGTAAGTAAAAAAAACTACGAGACCACTTGTTGGTAGTCAATGACTCAAGTGGCAGCAGGCAGAAAAACATTGTCAAATTTGTCAATTGTCTATAGTCAAAATGGCAGAATCGGATTGACAAGTCGTGCAATTTTCGTAATTTATTTTTGGGTGCAATAATTATTGCCTTTGTACTTTTTAGGTGTTTTCCGCCGCACTTTAAAAGGCATAAAATATACATACTGTTTTGTGTTTAAATAACTGTGCTTTCTATCTGTTCATGCGTATGTTGCAATTTCACGAAATATCAAGCTTTGGTATGATAACAAAAGATATAAAAATTCAGCCTTGTCTCGGTATGTGCTCTTTTTCGTCATGTGTGTATCGCCGGGATTAACATAGCATGAATGGTCTCTGGCGCGAAGACTCGGGTATGTATACGTAACTGTCCAGAATCGTGATTTTTGGGATTGTGACGTCACAAAATAGACAAGACGTTATTTACAGTGCAAATTAGGTAATAAAATGTTTTATTGTTTTCACCGGTGAGTAGCCTAATATTTGTTGCGTTCCGGTGAGGACGGAATTCGCGGCGTAGCGGTGGGCCTCCGCTAGGATGGGCGGCGATGTCTGCCCCCTCTGAGAGCGCAGCGAGCCCTGCACCGTGCGCATGCACCAATATATCGCTTATGCAATTGTTCCATGAGCTCAAACAGAAGTTTCCTGGAGTACCTGATCATGTTGTTTCAAACACGATCGAATTGTACTGTCACGATAAACAAGCCTGCGAGAAACATCTCCACAGTGAAGTCAAGGCCTCCCTAACGCATGCCTACCATGCCTCCTCGTCGGCAGCCGCGCGCCAGCTCAATGAACTCAGGCTCAACCTGCCCATCAAGTGTCGCAACCAGCCCATAGTGAAGCATGAAGCTGTCAAATCTACAGCACTCAAATCTATCACTTGTGATGGCCCTCAGAAAGCGATACTGAGCTCTGTTACTGAAACAACTGAAAAACCAACCAAGCTAAACACTGATGCCAATCAAAATATTGTGGAAACAAAAAATGAGGAAACCAATAGGAGCAACAACAACATATCGCCAGTCACTGTAATCAATATTGACAACTGTTATGCAAAGTACAACGCTGAGTCTCCTAGTGACTTGGAGCTAACAAACGAGAACTCGAAAGAAGAGAAAGTTGTACAGTTACAAGAAGAAAAAGTTGTTTCTCCACAACCAGAAGAAAAAGACCTTGAGCAACCAGAAAGTACCAACTATAAGATTCTAAAGAGTCATAAAATTAAAAATAACTTGCATGAAAGATTAGAAAAAGGAAAGGAGAAGAAAACTATTAAAAAAGAGGAGACTCAACCTAAACAAGTGAGCCCACAAGAAAAGCCAAAGCGGCCCAACACATTAGATTTCATTAAACCAAATCCAGATATTGCATTTAAACAGACATTAAAGGAACCAGAGGTTGATACTTGTAGGACGGTGTCACCAGCTCCATCTGTGGTGAAAGAAAGTCAGCCTAAGGAAAACAAAAGTAATACAAATTTCAGACCAGAACGGGGCTACCCGTTAAACTTGTCAGTTAATGTCAATTGTCATATGGACTTGAGTCGTGCTTATGGTGATCCTTGGTTAGAAGATTATGATAGCCCGAGAGCTATAACATCTGTGAATTTAACTGTTTGTACTCCGACCTCAAATATGGCTAGTCCTGTGAGAGATACGCGGGAAGATGACGGGGGTTTCGAGGGTCACGTGACAGTCACGGTGAGCCCGAGCACCACGCGGCCCCCTCGTCGCAGGGCTCCACCGCCGCCTCCGCATCCTTCGCGGATCGAGTCACCAAGACCCAGCAGATCAGCGCCTGAACCCCCGGGATCTATTACTATTGGTAAGTTGTTTGATTTTTTTTTATAATACAGGGCATCATAAATCCCAATTGTGTTTTTAACGAATTGCATAAAACTTAATAAAAGCAAGATCAAAGCAATTCTGTCCATTTTTTTTATAAATGAAATACCTGTCTACCAACCAATATTTACTGATTTAATTAAACTTGCCAAACTGGTGAGCTTTATTTGTATTCGATTTATAAACCAGATTACCAGTTTAGCAAGTTTTAGAGTTGCATTTATTTAAAAATACATTTGATTAAGGGGAAAGGCCTAATTTTCAATGTTTTTCCAGTTAAGAGCTAAAAGAAACAATCTTGTCTTGTTTATACACATTTCCTAAGGTTGAACTAGTTGAATCCAGTTCTCTACCACCAGTGGTTCAAAGATTTCCTAAATGTAAATATTTGTAACTATGTAGCAAAGCTTGATTTATTTATAATCTGGTTTTTATTAACCGTCTTAAATAATGTACTTAAATAAAGTAATGATTCATAGAAAGCTGATAATCTTTAAAAATTGTCAATACATACAATGACTAATAATCTAATTACATTACTCAATTGGGTAATTTACTATCTATTTATGGATTTGATAATAAGTCTAAAAATAAATGTATTTGTCTCCTAAGACTCCTATGACTAATAGATAGTTGAAAAACACTGCATAGGCGATGGGAATCTTAAACGTCATTTGAGGAAAAATAAGTGATAAAACCAAATGCGGTGACCTGATTGAAACTATAGGTTGCTAATTAGATATTCATAACAACCGCTAGTCCACGTGAGGGGGAATTTTGCTTTGTTTTTTGTTTGGAGGAAAATCAACACTGCAATAAACAAACCGAGTGGAGTCGTCGACTCCAGGTTTTCCTCCTACATGTTAGGTGCTTTTTTATGTTTTGTCAAATGTGCAGTGTATCTATTGAATCGAAATGTCTGTTGTCTAATCTAAAGTCAATCATCGCATGTGTGCGAATATAATCAAGTTTTATTATACGACTTCAGGACCAGTTCAGCGTGTGCTAGACACGACCTTGGTACGCTGGTATTCTACTGGCCCCTTAAGTGATTCGCGGACGAACATCCTTATAATGTGGTGTTTCTGACCTGTTAATGTTGCGAAATCAATGTGGTCAAAATATAAACGCAAAAGGAGTATCCTGTAGATACTTCTTTTCTTTACAGTCATAGATATCCCCCTATAAAATAAAACAGATTGGAACAGCTGAAGGCATTATTTGACAAAAACACCGTAAGCCATAATTGCTTGCGACATTTTCCGTTCACAAAATGCACATAAAAAGCGTAGGCGCATAATTTATATGCTCTTATTGTGCACGCAACATATCGCAGGTGAAAAGTTTTAGTTTGTTTGGACAGTCTCATAGATAACTTGTATCTTTTTATTATTTTACGTTACAAATCTGTATATTTTCGTTTCGGTACAAACACTCGCGTCATGGGTTTTGAATAAATCATGCTTGTTAAATCTGTGTACGACACGTAATATTTACATCCCATTTGAGCCATTGGATGACTTTTACTGGCTTATAGTGCTGGCTGATTCTTGCTTAGGGCATGTTATTCCGATATCACTGAATTAGTATTATAAGAAGTAATCATGATTATTTTAAAATTTATAGATCGTGCCTTGATCGAGCGTCAAAAAGAAAGGCTCGAACGCCTAGCGATGGCGCTGGCGCAGGAGAAGGGGCGGCTCACCCAGCTGACGAAGGAAACGCGGATACTGGCTGGGCCGCCCCCCACCGTGTCGGCGACGCAACGGCTACGTGACGACGTCGAACGACTGCGGAACCAATGCGGCACCCTTGCAAAAAGACTGGAGATGTCTGGTCATGGTACGAAGTTATTTTATCATTCATCTTAGATTTTGTAGTTTTACTAACATTACTAACTTATTTTTATTTGGGGCTTAGGTAAGAGTTTACGTTACTTACTGCACTTGCTAGAACTCTGAACATGTAGTCTTTTGGTGGTATCGACGCGCACTAGATTTTAAATATAAGTGGTTTTCAGTAGAATTAAATGTAGGTCGCCTAAACTCTCGCATCATCTTCCAAATTACACATATACTTGGATGCTTCGCAAACATTTTTAGCGTTAAAAACCTCATAATAAGTTTGGCAAATAAAACGGGCAGAAACTCCACCATTGGTTCACTGATAACGCATGTTATGTATGTGTTAGAGGGCGAGCCTATCGCGATCTATCAACCATATTTCCGAGAAGTGTTATCATAGAGTATATTTTTAAAACAACATCTACTTTTCATTTCGGTACCTTCGCTTACATATAGCATGATGCCCTCTAGCTTTTCTAACCTAATTAACCTTTCACAGCTGGACTCGTAGACACTTCTGGCACCATGTTGGGTAGCACGATTGATGAGCCCTGACTCGTTCCTCGCACCGCTGACTGCGATACTCGTCTCTAGGTTGAGGTGCTTGGCCTAATTTGAATGTTATCTTGCTTGCTCATTCAAAACCTTGATCGGCCAATAGCGCAGTGAATCAGAATAGGAAACTAGGAGCCTGTGTTGACTTCAAGATATAAGGGTTAGCGATCTCAAATGTTTACCCTTAACAAATTCCAGAGCCGGACGACGCTGGGAACTTCTACAGCAACATCTACACGGGGCAGCGACCCTCGTCCTCCTGGCAGTGCCACATGTGCACGTTCAGGAACCATCCGCTCCTCGACAAGTGCGAGGAGTGCGACATGCCGCGGATATTCGTAGGTACGTCTCCCCCTAAGACGCACGACTCGGGCTTCGGCTCATTCCGGGATAGGAACCGGCGCGGCGCCGCCTCTATCGATGATCTTCCCCACTCACTAACACAGACTCAGTCGGCCTAGCCCGACGACAGCGCAGGACGCTAATCAATCCTCATTATTGCCTTATTCAGTGCCTATAGTGTAAAAACAGTGCTTGAGTGTATCAGTGTTTTAAACTTTATAAACTCGTGTGCGTTTGAAGTGTCCAGACTTGAGGCTAATATGAACAGTGTTGTGCTTAAGACTCACCCAGCATGTTACTGTTGGAATGCAAACTTTATTATTAACAATGAAAATACCAACGATGTGATGAACTATGTACCTCTGTTGGTAGTTTCACATCTCGATTTATTATTCCTTTCATTATTTAAGAATCATATTTGTGTACTTGGACTTTTGAACGTTATTCTCTTGTACGTAGAGCAGAAAATTCAGTGATTGGCAGCAGTGTTAAATTTTATGGACTTAATATTTTTCTGTTCTAAGTATAATTGTGCAAATATGATCCTCGCATGTGTGTTCGTCTATTTTTTATATGCGACTGGATTAATATACGACTTATTCTCGTGTAAAATACTGAGAAATCTTATAAACAATTGTGGACGGTTATCCGACATACACACGTGTACTTGATAGACTGTGATTAATACTAGTTCGTGGTATTAGTGGATACGATTCAACAAAGCACCTTCAAATAATAAACATATCGAATGGTTTAACGCACATAATAAACAATAGTGACTTCGAGAAAGTGACTCACTATCATCTAACTGCGATTTTCTCTTGATAGTTTCTGCTCTATAATGATGATTGCCTTGAAACTAAGGTCATTCGACGCGAATTGTGAATTATTTGCACATGGATTTCATTAAATTAACTTTGAATAAATGGCGTCTTCTGACTGCCCAGTGCAAACTAAGGGAGATTAACAAATAGCCTTGTCTTATCTACGACATTTCCAAGATTTTAGGTAACAAAACAGACATTAAATGTCTTTAATCGATATCATACCAAGATGTAGGTATCTTTAGTCTTAGAGTACTCATTAATTGACAAAAAATTATCAAGGTAACACCTAAGTACTAAGTATGCCTACGTACCTAAGAACAGCTTTACAAATACGATAACGCGACTTAGACTTCTGACGAAATGTTTCCGACAGCTGTTTGCTATCAGAAACAAGTCAAAAAGCCTTTAAAACCTCTCTTTGTCAATTCAAATATTTCTACTGGTCCCTTATAGGTTATAGGTAACTAGAACAGCAATGTATTACCTAATTGTATTGTCTTATCATATGAAATAAATCAGCCAATATAATACATAGTAACATAAACATAAGTTATCTTTTGCAAAGATATCGTCGATTCAGATAAAAGTGTTACCGGAAATCGTCAAATATTTTCGTAGTACAATCGAACTAAATTGATTGTGATCAGGTACAATAATGCTACCAGGCGATGTTGAAACAATGGTGCGCTGTCTCTGTCACTTAAAAGTGTTATAAAAGAGACGAAATATTTTAAATTCGGAATTATTTAGCATTTAGGACATGAATAAAAAAATTACGCACTTTAACTTCTCAATCTATAGTCTAACAGTACATTTGTTGACAGTACATCTGTGGGTGATGTATCGTCGACCTATCTTGCAAAACATTCACGCACTTAATACGTCACATATAATTGTAAATACAAATACGCCGCGATTTTAGACCTTATTGCAAAGAAAAGTTGTTTGACCTCGCAGAAATGTTGGTCTTTTTTTCTATAGTCCGTGAGTCATCATTGAGTCTTGTGTGCGTCTGTAGGTATAGAAAAGTTGTGTAATGCCGTTGCAGCAATTGTTACGAAATATGTTGACGAAACGTTGCTATGACGACGTTATGTTTTTAATTACTTCACGCAATGGACAAAGGCAAACCTTATAAATAAAGTCTTTTGTATCATAGATAGTTCCTAGATACTAACATTTAAGCGAAATAAATAAATTCCACAAAAACTTAACATCACAAACGTAATTAATGTCTTATCCGAAAATTAATCTTTCAGGAAGCAATGGTTTGTACGCTGTGTTTCGTTTGATAACCGTCTTAACAGAGATTTTGTAAAATATTTTGTTTATCTAGCGTTTAGGTAAAAAGAAATTATTAGATTTTATTAAAATGAGATGTATTTATTGTTTTACTTAATGAAATTTTATTAGGCAGACTAAACATCACTTGTTGACTGGTCAAACGGTGAGACATCACAGGATCTCGTTAAAAGACTATTTTATTGCGCCTTGCCAAAAATGTATCATAAAAATTATTTATTGCCCTTGGAAAAAAATACATGCGCCGTTTCTTCGATTTTTGCTCAAATTATCTTGCTCAGTATTCATGATAACAGATTCACAAATAAAACGTTTGTTGTCAGGCTGAATGGCCGATAGCCAAGCACTTGAAGATGGCTACACGAGCCAGTGTATACAGGCCTAAAAAATAATCAAGCGAAATAATACATAGTTAGTATAACGATTAATTTTAATACATACGTCAGACAGGTATAGTTGTTGCATATTCGAATTTAACTGTGATAGGCATAGGGTTTCAAGTTGAATGATAACTATTACGTTTTTTACTACATTATTCGGTAGACTTAAAGATGATTCAAGTCACTTAGCTCCACCGTTCTATATTCTCTTCAAATAGTAGTACAATCGACAAAATTGTTACTGTACCCAGATTTTGGCAATGGACTTGCCCCTTTCCATAAAAGGTATAGAAAACAAAGGGCAAAAATGATCTACTTAGTTTTTCCTTTTTTCTGCTACTTTCTGTAAAAAAATAATTCAACTTAATCCACGAGATTATGAAAAATCCACAAATTTTGTTCATACAAAAGTAGTCTCTAAACATTGGAAATAAGGGATATAATGGAGTAAGTGGAAAGCCGTCAGCGGTGACCGCTTGGGGAGTGGGCAGTTAATACCTGCTATAGAAAATAACATAATTGAATTTAAATTCTTTACATTATGGTAATATTTTTAATATAATACTTAATTTCAATAAAATCAATGAAAAATTGATGTGAAAATTCCAAATTATTGTGATAAAAATCGGCCTTATTATTAGGAAATGAAAACATTTATAGAAAATTATTTAAAGTAATAAATATAAATGAATTTTGTAAAAATGATTGCACTAGACTTACGTAGATATTTGAATTATTGTGGTGACTTGAATTCTAGGCGAAAGTGTTATAAGGCGTAGGTGTTATATCAATTGTGATCAATTTTTTATTGTATATGAGAGAATAAATGATATGTTTATTATTAAAGTATGTTTATTTTTCTTTGTGATGTTAATATTTTGATCAAACTTATATTTACGCGATCTTTGCCATATAAAAATGAGTGTTGACAGTATGATTGGTGAACACTTGAGTAGGTATACCATTTTCTATATAAAATAACAAAGTTGCTAACGTTAATTAATATAGAGTCTGGCAAACGAAAGTAGAGACTGAAAAAGCCCGGCAAATTTAAAAAATATCAGTATAGCAACCCAAAAATAGTATGTCATACCTGGAGTAACCAGACGTGAAGACGTAACAAACAAATTATTATAAAGTATCAAATTAGGTTACTCCAGGTATGTGATACTAATTTTTGGGTTGCTATACTGATATTTATTAAATTTGCCGGGCTTTTTCAGTCTCTACTTTCGTTTGCCAGACTTTAAACTGTCAAATACCAAGCGGTCACTGGTGACCGCAACCTATTGTTCTATAATTGTGTCTGCAAAACCGGTACTCGACGAGTTGTTGTCATAGTAAAAGGCAAAGAGCGCGTAATAATTAACCTGATTTTTATTTTTTTGTTTTGGAAGAAATTCAAACGAAATATAAGGTAAGTTATTTTGTGTTTTTGCTCTAAATAATGTTTAACATGAATGTCGTGCAGTGGAATGCTGTGTCGTTATTTTTTTCTTTAGCAAAGCTTTTAGTTTCCTTTTCTGAAATTTCTCTAATTTTTATTGTTTATTTGTATTTGTTTTTCAAGCAGTTCGGGCACCTGACGGGATTACAGTTCGATTAATGCCAGGACGGCGGAGTAAGTACTTCTAATTACTTCCTGAAATAATATTCCATAACTATAAAGATAATTAAAAATCCTATTTGAAAAAATCACCAAGTTTTCCTATATACCCCAATGATTTTTACACAAAATTAATGTATTTTTTCTGTTTTCAGAAATAACACGCTCTTGGGTCTTATGAGATGCGGTCGGGGTTCGAATAGTCGTACGTATTGAGGCTTGATCGCGTTGGACCCCAATTCATTCTTCCACACCATTCAATCGTTCATTCAATACACGCCTACAGATCTTGGTACTTGAACTGGTATCTGTAGGTGTGGTTTCATTAGCGTTTAGCGCGATCTACCCTTAAGTGCAGTAGTACAAATCCTATCTGTGATATTCGCATTTGGTAATTAGAAAGTCTGATTTTTACTTTTATAGTTTAAAAAAAAACTATTTAATTTTTATTTTTTGATTTTAACACATTCCAAAGACCCAGTAATTCGATCATGTTGTTATGTTCTTTCCTGTTCTCATTGAGTGCTCTGTTGTACCAAATGCGGATAACTAGAAAAGTTATTTACATTTTAACACTGCTGCACTTAAGGCGGATAGGGAAGGTATTAACTTTAAATTTATACGAAAATTTGTAAACAAATGTGTCGTTCTTTACAAATATCAAGATTGATGAGTACAGTATACTTATACTGCGGCAAAACAGCCTTATTGCAATGTTATAAGTGCTATCTGGACACAAATTACAAATGTATTATTTTAGAAGATAATCTAGCTTTCATTGAATATTGTGCAAAGGAATTTATACTTAAAACAGTAATCGTTAAATTCAAATTCCTGTGATTTAAATAAACTATTCTTAGTCCTACTAATACACATCGCATTTATAGCAAACCGCAAAATGTGATTTCTGTCAGCAATATTTCTTAAGGTCAGTTCAAAAATATGCCTTAATTGTACTGTTTTAGGGGTTATTTTATTATGCATGAATTTAGTAATCTCAGTATTATTTTGTAGCTTAGACTACAATCCCTTGGAATTTCCAAACACTGTTTGCAAGACAATTCACTCAAGACAAATCTTTATGCCACATTATTTAAGGTTGATATTGGAAGCTAATATCTGAACAAAACATATATAAATTGCTAATGAGCTCAGACAATAGGAAACTACACTGTAGCCGTTCTTGAAAAACTTATAATCAGTACCTACTGTCCAAGAATTTTTGTTTTGATATTTCATCTGCAAAACGATTGTACATAAATGTCTCTTCATTTTGTTCAGGCACAAATACAATCACGTACAAAGACCATAAAACATTTAGTCAAATACTCCAGAATTTAGTATGGTGTGCATGCTAAAGAGTAATAAAGTTCGACCGCTCGCTTTTATACACATTTTCGCTTGTAACACGAGGACAAGCGAAATAGGTCATAAATGTTATGTCGATGCGGTATCTTGGGTCGTGCCATGGCACCAAACACCGTAAGCTTGTACCTATTCCTCTTTTCAAGGGGGGGGGGGGGTTTAGCTGTCGCTTACCCGTCCGCTCACCTCTCTCTACAGATTTTTCAAACACACAACCAATTGTTATTGTTTTTTTTATTGCCATAAAGGTACAGGCTCTAGAGTCAAGAAAGAAATTTTAATTTTACCCCTCTCATGTCCAAGGGTTGTACTGGCTACCTTTATCTTTGTTTCTTTAAATTACATTTCTATGACATCAGTAAGCTTTTTAAATATTGAATGAGCTACTGGTAGACCCTCTGGTGTGTCGACTAAAGTTTGACTAAATTCTGGATTAGAAAAACTATACCTTCACTACTTACTTATAAAAATCTGTATTTAAATATATTCTGTTTATTTTAGCTGCGAGATGAAAAGCAGATAATATTCAGGGTAAAACTTATTAATATTTTACCACTTTCTTCTTCTTTGTGGGTGAAATGTGCCTATACAAACTAAAAAGAAATAAGTACTTACTTATTCTGAATGACACAACTATACGCATTGTGAACAAAATAAAAAACTACTGTTTATTAAGTAAAATATTTAAACTTACAAAGTATTTTGGCATACATATTTGCCAGAAGTTTCGAACTGATTCTTGAACCTAGTGGTATACTGAATACCAAAGTGCAAGGGAAATTGATACTTATATGTATGTATTATGAAATAAAATGGTCAAAATAGATAGCAATATTTAAAACACCTGGAATGTAGCTCTACTTTGACTTGTTTATGTGAACGCAGAAATAAAGTTGTAATTGTCGAATTAATGAAACAATCACTGTGATTTCTAGTCGAAACTCCGAACTTTTCATTATATTGTGTATGTATTAAGCAATAAGCATTTCTTTCTGTATAAAAATAAACTTGTGCTCATTTTAATGTACATAAATTATATGTATGGGTATGTATGACGATGCTATCATATTTTTTATCAGATGTAAGTTGCAAGGGTTGTGTGCAAGTAGAAAAGTAACTGTCTGGGGTAAAATATTATTTTATTAGATAGCAAATAAAAGCTTATTTTGAAATACTGCTGCAAACTTATAATTATAATATTATTTTAAGATTGAAATCCAGTAGAAAAAATTGTTTTGAACATATCGATGTGACCCTTAGAACAATGTTCAACAATAATAGTATTTTATGAACACAAATATTGGGTTAAACTAAATTTAAAAAGAAAAACTTGTGAAAATACATCTCATTACTACTTGCACATAAAGGTTTGCAGATAAAATAAAAATGTATTTAGCGCTTTTATAGTATATTTACTAAATGTAAAATATCTATTTGATATACATTATGATACATAATATTTAATCGGCACATTTATCAAAATAAACTTGTTATTGAAAATTGTTTATTTTGTTTGTTTCACTTCTAGACATATTTTGGCAGTGTTTGTTACTAAATCTAGGATAATTTTATGCAAAATTCTTCAAACACCATATGACAGAAATCAATGAATAATAGAAAATTGACATGCCTGTGACCATGTAGGAAGTGTTAGAAGAAAATTACATAATTATAAGTAGTTATCACAAACAATTCCAGCTTCAACAACACATTCTAAAAGCAATCAAATTCCTATCAATATAATTAGATAGGTATGCACCTATGTATAGTAATTCAAATACTTGAAACAATCTGCCAAGCTACATTTATATTTATTCAATATAACAATAAATTAACAACTAACTAGAACTAGATTAATATACAACCTATCTCCTCACAATGCCTCAATATATAGGTACTTCTAAAAACATGAACACAATGAAATTGCATTTCAGTAAGAAAGTAAGTACTTCAGTGCTGGTTCATTCTAAAGAAATACCAGATTTTAACAACTACTGAGAATATTTTGAGCAAAAAATTGCCCATCTACATGTTCATCTTCCTAACAATAGATATGTGTGTCAGTATTCTATTGAATCCAGTGCCAAATCTCTATTTGCAGTTTACAACAACTAAATAGCAGTACCACGCTCCAAGTTCTGTTTGATTTCAGCTGTATGCTCTCCGTAAAATCTCTCCAGTTTCTTGTTGAACTTAGCATTCCTTTCATTGATGTAATCAATATCTGCATCATCATTGTGTATGCGTCTCCTAGAGTAACGAGCCCTCTTGGCAATCTGCCCTTCTAGGTCATCAACCATCTTGTCGACAGCTTCTCTCCGGTCTTCATGCATTCCATGAATGATAACATTAGGTCCACCATAGAAAGCATCACCATACTTCTGTTTCTGTTTCTCATACTGTTCCATATCAGCTGCTGGCATATTTTTAACCAGCCTGTTGTATTGCCTCACGGTTGCTTGTTCATATGTAGAGAATCCTTCATCAGGATTCTTCTTCTTCTTTTTACGTTCAAGTCGCTCAGCCTCTACTGCTGATATGTTTAATAGTTTCACTCTGTCGTAATCTTTCCCTGCTTTCTCTGCCTCTTGACGCTTTGCTTGGTCGTCGAGCAGCCATTCAGCTTGTCGTCGTTTCGCCTCGTAGTTCGGCGGCAGCTTATTCCTAGCCTCCTCAGCAACTACTTCTTGATGGTTGTGTGTCCTTGCTTCGTTTCTAGCAGTGTGTAATGATCGCAATCTTTTCATGCGTTCAGCTTGTTTCTCAGCAAACGACAGCTCTTTGGGAGCCGTCGTTGGTTCTTCTGCTTGGGCACTCATAGTATTGTTGTAAAATAAAACCCAGCACACATAAGTATTCTTACATTAAAATAGTATACGAGACATTCCTGTCGGAAGATATGAATTAAAAACACGGAACTTTCGAAACAACACGTAATTTCACATTGACTTTGTGACAATTGTCAATTTTTACATAAACAAACATAGACAACAGATTTAAAAAAAAAAACATTATTTTGAGTGTGACCAGTTAATTGCGATTCTCTAATAGTGACGTGACCGTGACGTAGCTCCTATTAAACATTGACATCAGTTTTTTTGTAATTACTACAGAATATAAACGAAATGCTTCCGAAAACACTGTAAAAAATATAGTTTTTACAATTTTAATAGTTTTCTTTTGGCGTTGTCAATGTGTGTGTATTCTACGTACATGTTTACAGTAGTCAGGTGCCACAGTTATTGTTTCAAGAGACTATGTCCGGCATTTTTTCATCGTCCTTGTTTGAAACTTGAATATAAAACTATTTTAACCATCACCTATCTATTTTTTGGAAGCGTTCGATTTACACTCCGTACATTATAATAATAATATAATAATACATTTTATTTCAGACTTAGTCCATATTTGTTAGTAACAATGTTCTTAGCCTAGTGTTAGTAAAAATACACACAACAATAATAATTAGAAACAATAATAACGTACAATTAAATAAATGAGTAATTAGTTAGTAACAATATTCTTAGCCTAGTGTTAGTCAGATACATAGATATACATACATACTTATGATTAAGTCAGGCACTTTCTTTCACGTGTAGGCTTATCCAGTGCGCCATCAGCACCGAATCCCAGCGTCCGGCACACGCGGCCAGCATGCCGCTAGGGCTACCGCGCACTCGTGACATCATTGATGCACAACGCTTACGCATGATCGCATGGAATCCATCCACATGCGCCTCCGCGAACATGCCACTCGCACTACAGTAACGCGGCAGCCCCATCAACACCCTGAACGCGTTGTTGTACTGAACCCGGAGGGCATTGTATGTCCCCTGCGTGTATTTAGCCCACAAACTGCATGTATAAAATGTTTGGCAGAATGCCCTAAATAGTGTTACTTTCACTTCTTGGGCACAACGAGCGAACCTTCGAGCCAACATATTACAGCGGACACACAACGCCCTACGTTCTCTCGCAATGTCCATATCGTCCTTCAGGTCATCGGTAACCCAGTGGCCCAGATACTTGAAATGAGCTACTCGGTTTAAAGGCGTACCATAGAGTGAAACAGGTGGTATGTCTGAGAGATTCTTTTTTAATGCCTTAAAAACCATAACCTCGCTTTTCTTTACGTTGTATCTGAGCCCATGAGCCTCCGCATACCTTTCACACGTACGAAGCAGCCTTCGCAACGCGCCGATTGATGGGCTGAGCAGCACCATGTCATCCGCATAACTAATATTATTTACGCAAACGCCATCTATGTGACATCCAACTCCTGTGCTGCTCAGCTCCCCAATCAAGCGATCCATGTACAAGTTAAAAAGTTTAGGCGAGGTCAGCCCCCCCTGCCTCACCCCGCACTCCAACCTGTATTCGTCCGATGTACTATCAGCCCATCTAATAGTATTTTTTTGATTATTATACCAATACTGGAATATTGATATAACCTCAGGACACAAACTAGTGTCCTGTCGCATCTTTTCCCACAATAGATCGTAAGAGACCATATCAAATGCCCGTGAGAGATCCAGAAAACAAGCGTATACAGGCGTCCTCCGTGCAGTATAGTAGTGTACGGTTTGCTTGAGACACACGATAGCACTCTCTGTAGATAGTCCAGCCCGAAAACCAAACTGGCCATCATGTAGGTTTATATGCCTATTTAGATGGTTATCAAGCAGACCGTCCATCACCTTTGCTATAACCGTTGCTAACGAGATAGGCCTATAGTTTGACTCATCCGAGATGTCACCAGTCTTATTTTTTACAATAGGAACAACGATGGTAAACATGAGATCGTCTGGTAGGTAGGAGTGGCTGACACAAAGATTAAATAGCAAGGCCAGAACCCTCGGCAAGTGTACCCCGGCATGCCTCAGGTGCTCAATGCTGAGGCCATCGTGTCCTGGCGACTTTCCTCTTTTGAAGGATTTTATAACTTCATTTACTTCTTTCGCAGAAAACCTCAAATTAATATCATGTGATGTAGCCTCAGCACTGGACACCGAAGGCAGGCCAGATCGCGCAGGCCCCAAAAACGGTTCAACCCTAAAATGCTGCCGAAACAACTTCGCAATATCACCCGAATCATTCACCCCTCGAACGCTCACGGGCCGGCTCGGTTTAACATTAAGTCTGTTTGTTGCCTTCCAAAATTTTGAGAAGTTATTATCAGAATGGTGTCGCGCTATCATATCCATTTTAATTTTATGTTGATTATTTTGACACCATTTCAATTTTGCCTTAAATAATCGCCTTGAGTTCGTCATCTCATTGAATAACCATCCAGAACTAGGTTTCCCATACAATACCCAATTCCGATAACAATGCCGGGCTTTTCCGTGTGCATCTTTCACGTGTCTGTTCCACCCAATTATGTGCTTACCCTTACCCGGCTTTGAGGCCACCCGATATGAGTACTCCGCGCCCGCAATCAATATACTTACAATAGTTTTATACATATCATTAATTACTGTTTTGTGATTCACACAGGTACACATCCTATCACAACAAGCAACACAATCCGCTGGAAAGTCAATGTCTCTCAACTTGTCATGACAAAATTTGTGGTAACTTTCAATTTGACAGTCTTTCCTCTCTCCCCAAACTACCTTACTTTCACAAATATGTTTAACAATAATTTTAGATTTTATCAAATTCAAATTACAAGTTAACTGTATAGGATAATGATCGGACCAGTATGTATCGTACAGTATAGTCACGCGATCGACAGTCCCACGTGCGGCGCTCGAGACCACGCAGTGATCGAGCCACCGGCGACATCCGTGCGCCTCACTGACAAAAGTATGTGAATCGCACGGCAACATGTCAAGATCAACACATACCCATAACTGTTCTGCACAAAAGTCTAAAAGTTGGTTAGCAAATAATTATAGATAGAACAAATGTAGGTGACATTTTTTCAAAGGTTTCAGCATAAAAAACCAAAGGAGGCCACGCTACGCCAGCTAATCAGATATCATGCGTGAAAATAACATTAAAATTACAATTTTAATAATAGATGCCATAGGATACAATATGGTAGGTACAAAGGGATCGGCTATAATTATTTCCAGTTTATTATTAGAGTCGGCTCAACCGTCGAGTTGGCTCAATCAACTTACCTTCATATGCCTAGTTCTATACAATGTACAGCTACCTAGGTCCGAATAGCAGAGTAGTACTTAGAATATACTTATTACTGCTCGTCTTACACACAGAAATATTAATTTGGGTATATCTATGGACTCACGCGTGTAGGTAAGAGTCGATTAAACTTCTCAAGGATTACCGAATCGGGCTGACGTTACTGGCATTCCCTCTTTTTGGATATTACATTTCTCAGTAATAGTACCTAGGTACGAAGTCTCTGTACTTATTGCGTGGAACTTGATGGAATCCATAACATACCTAACTGTTAAAAGTGGCTTTCACACTGCTATACTGACTTACTGAATACCAACACGCAGTATATACTACCTTCGCAACTCTACCTATCTTTCGGTGATTAATAAGGTGACCTTGCTAAGTAACTAATATTCGTTGGAATCAGTACCTTTTGAAAAAGAATAATTACGCAAAGGAATTATCCAAATAAAATTTGTGCCTGCCATTACATATGAAGGTTGCCTTTCGGTCTTCTACCGGATACCTATATTTTGGAGAGTGTGCGGAGGAATTGCACATCTTGATTCCATCTAAACCTTATCATCGTACACCAAGACAATCAGCGAAGCGTCATCGATTCATGCATGGTAGACCTACACCCGCGAAGCGCTTCTCATCAAGCTTCCTTGTGCGTACTGCTAAAGAGTAGAATTCTTTGCCAGAGTCTGTAGTTCCTAAAGGGTTTAACCTGGGTGTCTTTAAGGCACGAGTGAATATGTTGCTTAAGGGATGACGTGATCCATCGTAGACCACATCGTCGCTTACCACCACGTGAGACAGTGGTCAAACGTCGGCACACCAAATATAAAAAAAAATTGATGACAATGTAGTACCGTACCTACTTACCTGTCTTTCAAAATTAAAACTCAACGACTCAGGTAATCGAAATAAAAGAAATATTTGACATTTTTACACAACATATATTGAGTCTTAAATATATTTTTGACACACAGGAAGATATATAATTCAAAACACTTTCATTTTATAACAAACAATTAATTTATATGAAATACAAAATTGAATGGCTTGAGTAACTTGAGTTGTATCACCCAGGCGAACAAATTGGAATAAACTTTTGTTACAACTCTGATACATTCTAACCCTTACAGGTGATACTTAGCACTAAAAACTAAAGCTAAACTAGATTAACATACAATATACAATCAACTCCAAAATGAATTTAATATAGGCATTTCATAATTACCGAGTTTTAAAATATGAAACTATGAAAAAATTACGAAAGCTGACAGTTGGTAGATTTTTAAACGTGTGTTCGTTTTATTTGACATTCAAGTTTAGTCAAGACTAAAAAGTTCGAGCTGGACCCGTTCTGATTTAGTTTAAAATACTCATAAAACTTATATGTAAAGATGCGTCGAAAATACTTTTTAGAAGCACAATATTTTATTAAATATGTAAATGTAATTTGTGTCATTCGTTAGCCTCGATGTGCATTGTGCAGTAGGTATTTATTACCAATTTCATCAATTTACATGTGGAAATAAAAGTAGGTACCATTTTTTGTACATTTCTTTGTTTTATTTATTTTAATACAATCTTCAACTTAACTATAAACAAATCAGTGCTAACTACAATTTATTAATTATAAAAAGGATTATAAGTGACCCAATGAGCCCTCTGCTGGTTTTTATTACTTTGGTGTGAAGTGAATAATGACTTGAACACTTCACTGGTTTGAGGGTCCTTAGCTACACTGTACTCTTTCTTGGTTTTCTTATATGATGGGTCTTGGGCTAGTTCTGTGGGGTGGGCACGCTTTCTAGATCCAAAATGTCCCCTTGCATACTGGTTAGGATTATACCTGGGCAGAGACAATGGTATTGTTTTAATTTTTTCTTTCTTCACTGCAGTCCTCGAGCTAGGGCCAGATTCACTTTTTTTTATGCCATTCTCTGGTTTTATTACATCTGTGGAAACTTTTGTAGATGTGGATGGTCCGGGAGTCAACGGCTCAAGCTTAACTTTTGTCTTCAATGTTGTTTCAGTCTTTGTTTCTTTAGAGCTTTCTCTGCTAGCAACTCTGAGAGCCATTTTTTCCTTTAATTTTTTTATGTCATCATCAGTTCCATTAAGTGGTACTACATCATTGTCTGTGAATGGTTGCTGACACTGAGGACAAAACACAAATAATTAGACATGTTGTACTTGATAACAAGTAAGAACAGGGAGCAACTTTGGTAACTGCTCAGGCAGTATGAAAATATTAGTTTATCTACTTCTATAATGGATTATCTAATCTAATTTAGGGAATAAAAGAGAAGAATTCTTTGCATTAGGGTGCATAGGAAGTATGCTTATATCTATTCTTTTTGTCAAATTAGTAACATGGTTTAAAGCTTACCATGTGACAGAGATTCTGTCTGACTTCTTTAAGTGCCCTCTCAGCGAGGACACACCCGCAGTTCCAGAGGAACACAAAGCGGAACTTGCCGGACATCTCCAGTCCACTGACGGGGCAGATGTAGGGGACATTGCCAGCACCCACGTCACCATGGGTGTGATCAGCAGCTGTATATGCGGGGTTTTTCACCAGCTTTAAGTCTTTGATGTCCTGAAAAATGAATAATTCGGTATTATTATCTAAAGAAGATAGAAGGTAACAAAATATGTGAATATGTATTAATTAACTCACTCAAGTCACAATCTACACTTATCTGTTAAATTCTATACATGAAATATATTTCCAAAATAACTTAGAATCGGGGGGTGATTAGTGATCGATACTAATGTTAAAAATGCAATCAGTTAAATGTTTGTGTCTGTCTGTATGTTCCTTATAGAAACAAAAACTAATCGACGGATTTCAACGAAACTTCGTACAATTATTCTTCATACTCCTGGGGAGGTTATAGTATACTTTCCATCCCGCTACAATCAATAGGAGCAGAGCAGTGAAGGGACATGTTGGGAAAGCGGGAGAAGTTACTCCATTTTTTAAGCTTTCGTCGCGTGAACAGCCTTACCGGTTAAAGCTAAATAGAAAACATGTATCTCGAAAATGTTCTACATAAAATTATGTAAAAAATATCCCTGAACAGCATATGTCTATCTTTTATGATTGACTCGCATAACACGTATAACTCCCGATAGCTTAGCAGTTCGGAGCCAGAACCGATATTATAAATGTGAGTTTACGTGTTTGTGTGTATGTTTGTTACTCAGTCATATTAAAACGACTGAAGGGACCGGAATGAAATTCGGAACAGAGTTAGATTATGGTCTGAAGTAATACATAGGCATTTTACTCCTGGGATCGCGGGCGAAGCCGCTGGCAGAAGGTAGATATAAATACAAAATGAATTACCGTTCGATAGTATCGCTAAAACTCGAGAACAGCTGAACTAATTTGGCTAATTTTGGTCTTGAAATGTTCGTGGGAGTCTAGGGAAGGTTCAAAAGGTGAGAAAAACATTTTAGGCGGTACGAAGTTGGCCGGATCATTTAGTAATTAATAAATTATTGATGAATAATAACGCTAAATTTAAGGCTCTAAAAATGTGGACTTCAAGTATTTTAAGCATTACTTAAGATTATTTCATCAGAAACTAAAAATAAAATGTTAAAATGTACACAATACCTCTAAACTTTCGATGTGGCTAATGAAGTCTGGCTTAGTTTCCCCGTCCAGCAGCACCTCAAGCACAGAATTCTTGCTGTACAGCCTACCGAGGCCACAGGCCACCACAGGCTCTTGCAAAGGTTGCTGGGACAGAGCGCAGTTACGCCACTTGAATGACCGTTCTGCATCTTTATCTTTCTGTAAGTGTAAAAGGAAGAATGCATAAGTAAAAGTAAAAATAACCACAATCACCAAAAGGCCCGCACTCCTGTGATGTTCCGTGGTCAGCACCAATGGTTTACCATCAAATCAAATCCATTAAAACAAAATTTTACGTGAAATCATTGCAAACCTATTTACTTATTGACTATTATGATTAAAGAAGACACATACCTGTTCTGGCTTCTTCTTCATCCTGACGAGTTCACTTCGTCGAGGGATTGTACCACCGTCGCAACCCATTGTGAGAAAACTTTAATAAACAATATTTAAAAATCGTAGGTTTATAAGTCTCGACGTCACTCCCTGATGGCGACAGACGAACGAATGATGAATTTGTTCGACTTTGATGCTTAAATACCCCGGCGTAATGGTATTTAATTATGTACAATGTTCCCACGCTCCATCCTATTGTTAATTGGAACAGATCGCTGTAAGTAAGCGATAAGGATGCCTTATTGTAACTACTCAGGTACCTAATTGTTTTAAAAAGTGCCAAAGTGGTATTTATCTGTGGTGTAAGTAATTCGTTAAACTTTAGACTGTGTGGGTAGATATAATAAAGGATTAAGGTTTCTAGGAGACAGAGGTTAATTTAGAGGGGGAAAATCATCCATTGACTTACATAAGTATATTTCTCCCGCCTTGGGTTGGCGAGAGGGAGTGTCAGACTCTAACTGACTAAAGACCACCCGTTCCTACTCCTGCTCTTCGAGCCTGTTAGGCCTTCCGCGGCTCAGAAGACAGAGGTGAAACTTATATTAAGAATATTTAGTTTATATATAAGTTACAAAAGTATAATTTGCCATAAAAATACACAAATAACAAATCCCCCGCTAACGTCAGTCAACATTGACTGCGTTGCCATTAAACTGTCAAACACCTATTGTTCTATAATTTTGTCTACAATACCGGTATTCGACGAGTTAAATCATCCATCAGTGTATAATTGGGATGATGACAGGGTATAAAAATTAAAAATCTAATTAGTCCGTCAGTTAGATAATGAGAAAATATTAGACACGCATTTTGTTACAAAGACAAATATTTTAAACGGAACAAAAACAATGGGTGGCTTTATCACTTATTCTGTCAGCGTGGGAACATACTCGTAGCTCGTAGCATACATTTGGAAATTTGGTAAGTTTGGATACCTATTGTTGATTAAAATGTACTTTTACAGTCTTTACTCAGAACTTGTAATAGAATATATTGACGGTACGTTTTAACAAACAATAAGTTTTCTGATAAATGTCTCCTTTATAAGAATCAAGTTTACAGCAATTCATATGCCACGTCTACGGTGCTACGAGTCGTAGCAATGTGTAGCTTGTAGCTTAGGACGTATCGCATCGTAGCATTCGTAGCAGATGTGTAGCTGAGGCGCGAGGATGTAAACCGAAACCGATAAAAATTCAGCTGTCGGCTAGTGAAGTCGTGTGTCGAGGTATGTCAGTATGTTCTTCACTGTCGAAGTAAGAGTTGAAGGTTTCGTGTACAACTTTAGTACAACAATACCGTGAGTCTCTTAAATATCATAACACGAAAATGAGCGCACAGTTAGAAAAATTCTCAACAGTCCCCAGAGACCTGTCGTTTCTTCGACAAGCGGATCATATGAAAAGGCTGCAATCACTGCCAACTGCCGCCGAACTACGAGGCGAAAATACGGCAAGCTGAATGGCTGCTCGACTCTCGGGAAGAGCAGATTGCTAAAAGACCTCGCTACTCTTGATTCTAGATTTTATGTGAAATATTTGTCTAATTGTGTGTGTATTTGTGTATATTACTATTTGTATTGTAAATAGTAACGTAAATGTAAATAAACGTGTTTCAGTTATAGCTCTTGTGATGTTTGCGATACACAATTATGTATTTTAAGAAATATTTCATTCTGTGTGTGTATCAAAATGTATTTTAGATAAGTACCAATATTTAATAAATATTGTATAAATGAGGTAAACATACTTTTTATTTTATCTACAAACAGTAAGTAGTAATCTCTAGGTAGGTAAATTTACCAGACCATCTAAATGCCAAATTGTTAATATTGCCATAACCATACTGCGGCGTTGCAACAAGTCAAATGGTTACTTAGAAAAAAATATAAAAATGAACGCGTCGTTTCAGTCCAACGAACAAAACTCAATTGTGAAACCCGATAAGAGTTATAGTTATATAGTTAGTCCGATAATAATTTGAGTTAATGAGAGAAAAATCTAAATTACATGGAGTAGATACGGATTACGTACCAATAATATTCCCACGCTCCATCCTAATGTTAACTGGAATAGATCGCTGGAGGTAAGTGATAAGGATGACTACTGTTAGCATTGTCTAAAACATGAAACAATGATATTTGTCTTTGTAAGTAATTCGTGGAACATTAAATGGTAAAATGAAGAACCAAAATATGCGGGTACGTCTTATTGAGACGAAGGCAAATAGATAATAATAGGTGCAAAGTTCGAAAATATGATCGTTGATCGTAGGATTTTAAAATTTAGTAGAATCTGATGTACGAAGTATTTATTTATGAAGTTAATAACTGCCGACTGAAAACTTCACTAACGTCGGTCAACATTGATCGCGTTGGATATTACATTTCTCAGTAAAAGTACCTAGGTACGAAGTCTCTGTACTTATTGCGTGGAACTTGATGGAATCCATAACATACCTAACTGTTAAAAGTGGCTTTCACACTGCTATACTGACTTACTGAATACTGAACATACATACATACATAACTTCACGCCTGTCTCCCATGGGGGTAGGCAGAGACTAAGGAACGCCAATTACTACGATTCTTACATACCTCTTTCGCTTCATTAACAGTCATCAATCTTTTCATGCATGCTCGTCGGTTAAGGGTACTTTTAATTTGGCCCTTCTTTAATATATCGCCAATCTGGTCACTATATGTCCGTCTAGGGCGCCCTCTACCGACGGCCCCATTCATATCCGCTCTGTATACTTCCTTCGTTACTCTACTTTCATCCATCCTTTCTACATGTCCAAACCAGCGTAACATTCCCTTTTCAATCCTTGTCACTACATCATCTTTCAATCCACACCTTTCTCTAATAACACTATTTTTCACTCGATCACTCAATTTTAGTCCACACATACTTCTTAGGGCTCTCATTTCCACCGCATTAATCCTGCTTTCATGCTTCTTCTGCCACACCCATGATTCACTACCATACATAAGCGTTGGTGTCAATACACACTGCATTACAGCAAGTCGAGCTTTGCTGGATATTATTTTACTCGACATGACAGAGTGTAAAGCACCATTAACACTATTTCCCGCTTTCACTCTCCTTTCAATATCCCCGTCACACTTTCCATCTCTCGTAAATAGTGATCCCAGATACACAAATTCATTCACTTGTTCCAATTTTTCATCACCTATCATTACCTGACATTCTGTTATCACCTCATTTCTTTCTATCACCAACACTTTCGTCTTGTTCACATTTACTTTCATACCTTTCCTTTCAAATGCATCATTCATAGCAGTGATCATTTGTTGTAATTCTTGGGCCGACGAGGCAACAAGCACCTGGTCGTCGGCATACAACAATGTTTTAATCACTGTGTCATTCATCCTTAATCCAGACTCTCCTACTTTCAGGTCGTTCAAACAGCTGTCCATAAATAGGTTGAACAGCCAAGGAGATGCTACACAGCCTTGCCTAACACCTCGATTAATGTTAAACCACTCTGTGTAGTCCCCATTTATTCTGACACAGGCACTCGAGTCCTTATATAAGGATTTAAGTGCCCGAATCAGGTGGCCATCCACCCCATACATGGACAGAGTTGACCACAATTCATCCCTCACCACTCTGTCATAAGCCTTTTCTAGGTCTATAAAGGCACAAAATACCTTTTGGTGCTTTGATAACACTTTCTCTGAAATGCACCGTAACGAAAAGACTTGATCCGTACACCCCATTCCCTTTCGAAATCCCGCTTGCACATCCCAGATTTTACGCTCAGTTACATCCATCACTCTTTCGATCAATACCTTGGCATACAACTTTCCTACTACGCTTAGGAGGCTTATACCGCGATAATTTTTGCACTCCTGCTGTGATCCTTTTCCTTTATACAGTGGCACAATTACGGCCTTGGCCCAGACTCCAGGGACACGACCGCACCGCCAATACTTATTAAAAATTAGATACACCAGGCTTGCAATTACACCTCCACCCTCTGTTAGCATTTCAGTAGTTATCCTATCACATCCCGCTGCTTTACCTACTTTCAAACTCTTAATGGCACTCACAATTTCATCCATATTTATTTCTCCCACATTAGCACTTTCATTTTCATCGTTTACTTCCTCTTCTTTCAAATCACTCCTTTCAAATAAATTCTCGAAGTATTCCTTCCACTGCTTTAAAACATCCTTACTTTCTTCAATGACACTCATTTATATCCCTTATCGTACTTACTTTCGAGTCCCCCACTTTGCCTCTGGCCTTTCTAACTAAATGCCAGAATAGTTTAGCGTTGGCTCGAAAGTTCCGCGAAAAATTCCTTTCAAACTTTTCCTTGCATTCATTTTTCTTCTTGTTAACTACCGCTTTTGCTCTCTTTTTGAGACTAATGTACTTTTCTATCATACTTTCTAGCACTCTTCTATTTGCCTTTGAGGCTAATAAGTCGAGCCATGCTTTCTTCTTTTGCTCTATCACCTCTTTTACTTCATCATCCCACCATTCATTCCTCTTGCTTCCAGTGTTATTTTTCTTGCTTACCCCACATACTTGAGTAGCTACTGCGATCACTCCATCCTTAAATTCCTTCCAAAATTCTTCTATATTCCTTTCGTAACCTTTCATTAGCTCCCTAAACCTTTCATTTAATAGTTTCCTGTACTGGTCCCTAGCTGCCTCTTCTCTCAACCGTTCAACTCTCACTCTCTCGGTTCCAAGCAACCTTACCCGTGGCCGATGTCTCCACTTCATTCATAATTACCGAGTTCTAAACATATGAAACTATAAAAAAATTACGAAAGCTGACAATAGGTAGATTTATAAACACTATAAACCCAAATAAAGTTTTCACACTCTTGTGGTATCTCAGTATCTCTATACAACATTAACAATTACATTTTATGTTTTCGGCTAACTTGCGTAAATGTTTGACAAGGAACTCGACTAGTTTCAAGCCATGCTAGAGGCTCATAATTATAAACATTAACAATTACATCACAATTAACTATGATTTAGTTTAAAATACAATTATTATCAAATTAGACCCCAAACCACTACAACTAACTGTACTATCAAGGTTCAACAGCTTTGGACAAATAGTTTTACCTTACAATAACTATATGGCAGTTCCACGCTCCAAGTTCTGTTTAATTTCAGCTGTATGCTCTCCGTAAAATCTCTCCAGTTTCTTGTTGAAATTTGCATTTCTCTGATTAATGTAATCAATATCTGCATCGTCATTGTGTGCACGTCTCCTAGAGTAACGAGCTCTGTTGGCAATCTGCCCTTCCAGGTCATCAACCATCTTGTCGACAGCTTGTCTGCGGTCCTTATGCATTCCATGAATGATAACATTAGGTCCACCATAGAAAGCATCGCCATACTTCTGTTTCTGTTTCTCATACTGTTCCATATCAGCTGCTGGCATATTTTTAACCAGCCTGTTGTATTGCCTCACGGTTGCTTGTTCATATGTAGAGAATCCTTCATCAGGACTCTTCTTCTTCTTTTTACGTTCAAGTCGCTCAGCCTCTACTGCTGATATGTTTAATAGTTTCACTCTGTCGTAATCTTTCCCTGCTTTCTCTGCCTCTTGACGCTTTGCTTGGTCGTCGAGCAGCCATTCAGCTTGTCGTCGCTTCGCCTCGTAATTCGGCGGCAGGTTGTTCCTGGCCTCCTCAGCAATTACTTCTTGATGGTTGTGCGTCCTTGCTTCATTTCTAGCAGTGTGCAGTGATCGCAATCTTTTCATGCGATCCATCTGTCTCTCAGCAAATGACATCTCTTTGAGAGCCGTTGTAGATTCTTCAGTTGTGGCACTCATTGTGTTACACGCAGTCTTGGTATATCAAAACTGTACGCGAAACTTTTAACTTCTCCTTCGACACAATAGATAGATACACTAAAACACCTCGACACACGTCTTCACTGGTTGACGAGCAGTAGGGTACTGACACTACCGAGCGACCAGCCGTTGTATTGTCGTCGCTCGCTGCTTGTCGGTGACTCATCCGTGAACGGTTTGTGGGCTATTAGTTCTAAGAATTGCTAATTACATCTATTGTTACTTGTGTGCTTTTTATGTTTCGGTTTACACAGGTACACGTCTCAGCTACACGTCTGCTCTGAAGGCTATGATGAGTCGTAAGCTACGATGGTATAGGAATTACTGTAAACTGGATTCTTGTAAAGGAGTCATTTATCAGAAAACGTCACTTGTTTCACTTGTTTCACTATTAAATAAAGATTAAAAAATTAACAAGATGTTCGATTTGTTATTGACGAAATTAGTAAAACCATTATTAATTCAAAATTAAACAGAACTTATGCCAAGAATAGATAATTCTATATTAACATCCGCCGTTTCAGTACGCAGTTATTAAAATATGAACGAGATTACTAGTTGCATAATATCTACGTTTATTGCTCATAGAGTTCATAGAGTAAAGGGTGTTCATTAAGTTAATAGCTAATAATTAGTATTTATTCACATAATTATAACTTGATTGATACTGATCATAATCACTGGTCATTGCCTATTGCAACTGTTAATATCATTAGTTAAATATCTACCTAGTAAATGGGTATATTGACAGGATATAAAATTAAAAATCTATTCAGTCCGTCAATTTTTATAATGAAATGTACTGGTTCGAATTAAATAATTATTTTTGGTTCTTAGTCCATCCATCTTCTTATGATAAAATTAACATCAATTTTGTAGCAATTGCTACGCCGCATCTACGGTGCTACGGCACATCGTAGCGTTCGTAGCAGTGGTGTAGATGAGGCGCGAGGGTGTAAACTGTAGCAGATATAAGATTTATGACTATTTTAAACTAAATCAGAACGGGTCCAACTCGAACCAAACTTTATAGTCTTGACTAAATTTGAATGTCAAATAAAACGAAGTTACCACTTTCATTAATGCCCCTATACACTCTCATCCTGTTCACACACAAGTAACAATAGATGTAATTAGCAATTGTTAGAACTAAAATACCACAAACCGTTCACGAATGAGTCACCGACATACTTGTCGGTACTCACTACTTGGAGCGATGATAAAATGCAACGGCTGTTCGCTCGGTAGTGTCAGTATCTTACTGCTCGTCAGCCAGTGAAGTCGAGTTTCAAAGTTTATTGTGCGTTACATTGTCGAAGAAAATTTAAAACCTCGCGTACTATTTTAGTATACGCGAGACAAAATAGTGTTCCATTGAAAAAAAATCTTTATAACAATACAACAATGAGTACGCAAGCAGAACGATCATCATCGGCCCCCAAAGACATGTCGTTTGCCGAGAGACAAATAAAACGCATCAAAAGACTGCGATCGCTGCACACTGCTAGAAATGAAGCAAGGACGCACAACCAACATGAAGTAGTTGCTGAACAGGCTAGGAATAAGCTTCCGCCGAACTACGAGGCCAAGGGACGACAAGCTGAATGGCTGCTCGACGACCAAGCAAAGCATCAAGAGGCAGAGAAAGCAGTGAAAGATTACGACAGAGTGAATTTATTAAACTTATTATCAGCAGTAGAAGCTGAGCGATTTAAATGTAAAAAGAAGAAAAGGAATCCTGATGAAGGATTCTCCACATATGAACAAGCTACCGTGAGACAACACAACAAGCTGGTTAAAATTATGCCAGCTGCTGATATGGAACAGTATGAGAAACAGAAGTATGGCGATGCTTTCCATAGTGAACCTAATGTAACCATTCATGAGATGCACAAGGATCGAGAGGAAGCGATCGACAAGATGGTTAATGACCTGTTGGAAGAGCAGATTGTTAAAAGAGCTCGCTACTCTAGAAGCCGAGGGTATTTTGATGATACAGATTACTACATCAATGACAAAATCGCCAAGTTCAACAAGAAACTGGAGTTTGAAGATTGGAAACTAGGAAGATCATACACAACAGAACTAGGAACTGCCATTTAGTTTCTGCACGTTGTAACTATAAATACGAAGCTATTGTAGGTATATATGTATAGAAGTTAGAGTTAGGTGCTTTAGATATAAATTGTATGGCATAGGTATATTTTCACTAGATAGATATCGTGTTAATCTAGTTTAGCTTAAGTTATTAATTTGTATCATAGTTGCTCCAAACACAAAGCAATGGATTTAATTATTGTGTTTGGAAGAAAGGTGATTGTTTGTAAATTAAAAATGATTTGAATCGTATTGTAATATGTTATGTGTCCTATGTGTATGAAAATGCATTTTCAATTTAATAAAAGTTTTTTAAATGTTAAAACATTTTTTTTATTTCAAATTCTTACTTAGGTATCAGTAAGTAGTTTTACTCTCAAGCATCGTGCATGAGTGTGTGGGTTCGAAACCTGGCAAGGATCAATGCGACTTTTGCTAAGATTGGCGAAATGCGAAATTGGCGAAATGCCAGCAATGACTGTCGCAACCGAGGGTTGCAGCGCTTTGAGGAGTAGCTTGAGAGGCGCTACAGCGTCCTCACCTACCGCCTGACGCAGGTCCTCACCGGACATGGAAGTTTTGGGAGGTACCTGTGTCTGATGGGGCGGGAGGAAACGCCTCAAAGAGCCATCAGACCACTACAGATGGGGCCCGATGGGGCTGATGCCGATTCAAAGTCGCGGAGAACCTAACGGGGTTACCGGGGCTTCGGCTCGAAGTGCAGAAGGAACGGGTTGGTTTTTAGTCAGTAAGAGTATGACACTCCTTCCCGCCCCACCCAGGCTGGAAAAGTCACTCGATGATATTCCCCCTTAAAAAAATGTATATATGTACCTATATACAATAGTATGTACGTACCAATGTATGCTGAATTACGCAATTGTTGTAATCTACGTTAAAATCATCAAGATACGCGCAATTTCTTTGATTAATCTGCTCTTTAATAATTTCCTCTCGGTACTAATGCACCCCATGAACATTGGGTTCATCATGGATTGCGTCGCTATTGCGTTGTGTCGGTTTTTCAGTTGGTTCGATCTTCGCAATGAATGAATTCAAGATTAGTCTAAAAAGTTTGGTTCGAGCTGGACCGTGTTACTACGTGGACGGTTACTGGGGAACGTTCCCAGAAGACGTTAATTATATTGATTCGAACCATCGTGTTAATTTAATTTTCATACCATGTTCACACCTCCACTCAGTAGGTGGGTATTTAACTAATGATATTAACAGATGCAATAGGCAATGACCAATTATTATGATCAGTATCAATCAAGTTATAATTATGTGAATAAATACTAATTATTATATATTAATTTAATGTCTCGTTGGCCGAGTGGCTGCCGGGCAAGGGGTCGCGGGTTCGATTCCCGGGTCGGGCAAAGTATTACTGGGTTTTTAAAAAATCCTCAGTAGTAGCAAGGAGTCGTGAACCCTTTACTTTACTCTTTGAGCAATAAACGTCGATATTATGCAACTAGTAGCAGTGAGGTCATTAGCTGCGTATTGAAATATGTACCGAAACGGCCGTTGTTAATATAGGTATCTATTCTTGACATAGGTTCTGTTTGATTTTAAATTAAGAATGGATTCATTAATCTCGATCGTTAATCTCGACAATAATATGAGAAATCGGACATCTCGATAATAGATATTTTAAGAAAGGATAGGTTTGAAAATCAATTAGAAATAAACATGGCAATGCGACCGGTCCGGCCAGCCCTTTTTAAAATCCCGAATAATATTATAGTCCCTTGTGGTATTTTACAATATATGTCGCTTTCAGAACAAAAATAAAATTGTCAGCATGGTCCTTCTTTTTATCTTTCTTTAATGGCAACCTACCTAAATCATTTTACGTTCATTTGTCTTTGTAATTTTAAACGGAACAAGAACAATGGGTGGCTTGATCACTTATTCTGTCAGCGTGGGAACATACTCGTAGCCCGCATTTGGAAAATGGTAAGTTTGGGTACCTATTGTTGATTAAAATGTACTTTTACAGTACTATACTCAGAACTTGGAAAGAAATATATTTTCGGCACGTTTTAGCAAACAACAAGTTTTCTAATAATAATAATAATAATAATAGTTTATTTACCACCAAACATACATAGATATAAATACATGATTACAAATCTTAAAATCTAAAAGACATAAATCTATGCGCAGACACTGTAAAACCCTGTCTCTTACACTAGGGGAACCTGTATTATAAGAGACAGTGATTGTGATTCGGCCGATAAAATCATGCTTTTCTAGATTTAATCAACCAGTGGTACGTGCCGAAGTAGTTCCGGAGCCAAGTCCAACATTTTAGCTTTGGTCTAAAGGTTCCAGTGAACATATGAGATTTCAATACAACGACACGTATAACAGCAAGCCAGTTAATTATTATTACTCCTACTCAACTTAATATACTTAAAATACCTCCTAATATTTCTAATATTATCAGTTT